GTGTGTGTGCATGTGTTACGTGGCATCGACCGCGCTGCAAAACCGCTTGACCATTACTGAACAGGCGTCCGTCTCAGCAGTGCGGCTAAATTGTATGTGTGTGGTTATTTTTTTTTTCCCTGCGTCGATGATAAAAAAAAAGTGCGGCTCAAATGTATGTGTTGTGTGTTTTTCCGTACGTCGATGATTAACAAAAAGTGCTGCTATAATGTATATGTTGTGTGCGTTTTTCCGTACGTCGACGACAAAAATAAAAATAAAAAACAGGTGCGAGTGAGCTACCAGAAGCTGCTCAAGTGCTGGGTGCTGAACCAGATCCACCACCGGCGCCCCAAGGCCCTCAACAAGAAGTTCCTCTTCAAGAGCCTCAAATCCACCAAGTTCTTCCAGCAGGTGCGCTTTCGTCAAAGGGGGATGAAGTTTTTTGCCTTTAGGAGAGCATGCGGTGGATCTGTCTCTATCCATGAGCATAGATAGCGTGTGTATATTGTTTGTTTTTTTTTCAAGTACCATCGACCGCGCAAACCGACTGACCAATGAAAAGTCTTGTAGCGGGATGAAGAGTCCGTACACGCTTTCTTATCTAACGGGTTTTTTTGTGTGTTTAATCTTTTGATACCTCAAGGGGCAGTTGAGGTGTTTGCTAGAGAATTGCGTTTACCGCTCGGCACATTAAACCGTTCTCGAGAAGAACCCGCGATCTTTTGATACCTCAAGGGGCAGATGAGGTTTTTGCTAGAGAATTGCGTTTACCGCTCGGCACATAAAACCGTTCTCGAGAAGAACCCGCGCGTTTCTTGCCACTTTTAGCCGGCACTACACACGCACGGACATTGCCATCGGAGTCGTAGAGGAATGGCGTCGAGGAAAGTGGAAAGTAAGGGCTTTGATCCTTGAGATCTTACGAGCGTGCAATCAGATGGCCGTTCAGAGCACCGGTGGTAAATGAGGGGTGGCCGCCGTGATGACGCTATTGGCAATCTCCATATTATAACGCAAAGATAAGTGGAACAAGCACACACACGCCTCGCAGCAGCACATTTGGACACGCCCTTGCGGGTGGTGGTTATCATGGTGAAGAACTTTTCAAGGATGTTGGCTTGTGCTCAAGGATGATAGATACGTCGGGCGGACTGTATTACACTCCTCCCCCCCCCATCCCTTGCCCGCTGAGAAGCGGGGGAGTTGTTGGGGGGGAGGGGTCAAGTGAGGATGCGACGCTGTACAAAAGACCACTGAGAGCCTACCACTCCACCTTCCTTAGGGCGTGCCTGTTTCTTTTAGATTCGTGTAATATTTTATTTTGGTACACCTTTTTTGGGTAAGTTAGCCTGTGACCGCGGGAGTCGACCCCGCCAAGTATTATGGCTATTAATAGTACGGACAGAAGAAGGTACTGGACAGAGAGAACGGAACGTTTTTTTTTTTAATAAGAAGAAAACAACAACCCTTTTCAACTCGCAGTATGTTCTTGTACTGTAGTCATACCACGATCCAACAAACAACATTTCCCCCGACCATCGGTAACAACAACGGGGCTTTATCTCCCACTCACTTCAAAGACTCACGAACTGCTGTGGCATCATTGTCTCTGATGGATGGTCTTTCTGTGGTTGTGGATGTATATTTTCGAAAACATGAAAGGAGCGAGGTCGTGGCAAACTCTCAAACGCGAAATGACTGACGGCATGCGCGGCAAAAAGCTAATAAAAGAACCCGTTCGAAAAGCCATCGAGAGCAGGTGGGGTAACAAAGAAAATGTACGGAGTGTACACGTGAGAAATATTACGTAAAGTTGGTGGTGGAATGGAGGCCTTAAAGTGCCACGTAGTTGTACTCTATCGAAAAACAACACCCTCCCGCTTTTCCGGGCCCGAACCAACGGCGGCAGACGGAGCTGGACTGGGTGGAAGTCGGGCTGCAGGTGTGCCGTCAGGGGTACAACATGCTCAACCTCCTCATCCACCGGAAGAGCTTGAGCTACCTCCACCTGGACTACAACTTCAACCTGAAGCCGGTCAAGACGCTGACGACCAAGGAGCGCAAGAAGTCCCGCTTCGGAAACGCCTTCCACCTCACCCAGGTGTGTGTGTGTGTGTGTGTGTGTGTGTGTTTTGGATTATGATACTTGCAGCATCCACCGCGCCATTTAGCCGGCTGACCAATGAAAAGCCGTTGGTCTATTTGTAGCGGGGTAATAATCGCGAACACGCCTTCATATCGATGGATACCGCAGCTGCAGGGCCAGCGTTCGCTATGTGTGTGTGTGTGTGTTTTGTATTAGCATCTACCGCGGTAGTATGTAGCCTGGCCAATGAAATAACGTCAGTGTTTTGTTGCGGGGAAACAAACGCGAACGCGCTTTCCAATCAAAACGTCTTTCTTGCAGCAAGATAAAAAGCGAACACGCTTTCTGGTGGAAGGGGTCTACCGACTGTGTGTTTAGAGCCGGTTGTAGAGGGACGACGCTGGATGCCGTAGCAGAAAACCAGAAAACCAGGCGTTCTCTGTATGTGTGTGCGTTTGGAATTGGCATCGACCGCGCTAACCGGCTGGCCAATGAAAAAAACCGTCAGTCTTTTGTAGCGGTCATTATCGGTGGGACATATGAAGTGGGTTGAAAAGGCGGGAAATGATATCGATACGATAGATGGGCTAGGGAAAACATTTTTGAGCCACCTTTGTCAAATTAGGAAGGAACGATTGGCCCTCCGTGATCGATCCTGTGGGTA